GTATAACATAGTTTATTACATTATATACATAAATAGTGATACATAAAAATATAATATGGAGAATTCTGGTTTCATTATCTCATTAGGCCAATCTACTTTTAACATTTGGATTTTTCGTTCGTGTTTACGAAGATTCCTTGGACATAAACATCCGGGTCATCTTCTGTTTCCAAAATATATCCCAGCGCCAAAAAAAAAAGAAAAAACTATATGATTATGCAGCTGTGCACCAGTGAAAAAACACCAATAATAAACAACACAAAAACAGCGCAAAATCTAAAATTAAAATAACACAAATAGATAAACACTAAATTTATAATAAGTGTCCGTGAAAAAAAAAAAATATATATATATAAGTCCTTATTCCCATCAAAACCAATAAAAAATCAATCAAAAATCTTCCAAATGTGCTTCCACCTATCCACCACGTGAGAAATAATGTTGATCGCACTCACCAGATGGAGGTGAGTAATGAGCCTTATAGGATATAAGGGATCCTATAACCCCTCCAAAGGAACTCAAATCTCCTTCTTCACCCTGCTATGGTATAGCCCTCATCTTCTGTTTCCACTCATGCGTGATAGCGCTTGATAGATTTTTTTTTCGTACGACCGTCATACCACTGCATAGAACATCCGTCGTTCGTATGCGAAACGACAACATTTTTCACTGTTGTTCAGCCGGATTTTTTCATTCACAATATCGTTATCGGTTAAAACATCCTGCTCGTCAACGAAGAGAAAATTGCTCGATCAGAGGTTCCGCTAAATTTTTCATACAATTTTCTTATCGTGTGTACGGGGCATTGGACTGAAAATGTTTGATGTGATAAATCTATATCACACTCTAATCAGGCTCCAGTGTAGGCAGTAACCTCTAAGGTTCTCATCCTTCCATCCGCATGTTGGATCCTGAGTGGTGTGACTTGATAATGGCAGAGTTAACCCTTGATGTACCAATGCTTTAAAGACCTATATTTAGGGGGTCTAAAAATTTTGGTAAGAGGCTGCAGCATCTTATGAATGGTGATGGAACTCACTGGGAGCATGCAAATCACGTTTGTATGATTTTGGACATTCTTTTGATGAATTTTATTTATATTAGGTTCAGGGACTCACAATTGATTTTTATTTTTTCATGACGCAATGGAAATGTGGAATTATTTATTTAGGCTTGGTTCATACTGATGAGATGCAGAAAACACACAGGAATCGCTGTGTTTCCCACATCACATCACACCGTTCATGTAATCTGCTGCAGGTATCAATAAAAATTTTACAAAACCTCAAAAGCAGTTCGTACAGCGAGTTTGCTTGAACACCCAAGCGATTTGATTCCAGTGCAGCAAAAAAAGAAAGGTGTCTGCACCTTTTTCGTTTGGATGTGATACGATATGAGCCATACAAAATGGTGGGTTCAAATCGTACTGCACAGAATTGCATCATACACATACTAGGGCCAATTTGGACAGGAATCAATTTACCTACCAGCATGTCTTTGGAGTGGGGGAGGAAACCAGAGCACCCGGAGGAAACCCCACACAGGCACAGGGAGAACATGCAAACTGCATGCAGGAGGTGCCATGGTCAGGAATTTAACCTATGACCCATTTACTACAAGGCAGACATGCTAACCATTAAGCCACTGTGCTGCCCCATAATTGTTTATATACTGATTGTTTCATATAGCGTAACACATGTGATTTACATAACCCACTCAAGACAGGACAATTTGGGTTGATTTACCTTTTGTTTCCAATCATTCCCTCTACATAAAATGAAATTTCATTCCAGGGTAAAAATGGAAGTACCTGAACTGGCTGCTGTTCACATAAAAGAGGGAAGGCAAAGAGCTAAAGTAAGTGACTTCTTCTGTCTCCTATATATAGGGTGTATTAGAGCCAGGGCAGCTGTTAGAAACCACGGAGCCCCATACAGCCAACCTGAAAGGGCCCCCTTTCCCCCCAAAAAACCCCACAGTTTACTCTGCTTCAGTTATGAATGAACACAGTGAGCGATCAATACTGATCACTCATTGTGTTCATTCAGGAAAGGAAGGGACTAGTGACTGGACACTTCCTCCATTCTCCATCCTGAAGGATCCTATTGCAGCTTGCAGTGTATTACAGCGTGCTTGCAGCTGCTAGTGGGAAGGAGAGGAGGGAAGCCAGCAGCATTGCAAGGGTGAGGGGCCTAGGCAGCAGGGGAAATGTATTGTGCACAGGGAGGGTGATGAGTGTGGCGGGGGTTGACAATTAGTAGAACCCCCTGTATGGCTCTCTCTATTGCAGTTGAAAGCCAGCGGGAGAAGAGAAGAGGCTGGCTATCAGGTGGCTGTAATTGCCCCCCACTGTGCCGATCCCCCTCCCTGCCTACATCCTATTCACCCAGCTGCCTGGGCCCCCCTTCTGGCCTGGGCCCCATACAGGAGGACTGGTGGTACCCCCTTATCCATGGCCCTGATTAGAGCAAATCTTTGACAGTTTCATCTTTCAAACACTTGGGAAAAAGTGTGATTTATGAAGTACAATGAATGTCACATAGAAATGAGGATTAGTTGTACTGGCTATACATATAGAAATAATGATGGATCCAGGAGATGCAGAAAAACCTTTCAGCTATGTAAATGGGCAGCACAGTGGCTACGTGGTTAGCACTTCCACCTGGCAGCACTAGGGTTGTTAGTTTGAATTCCAACCATAGCACTACCTGCCTGGAGTTGGCATGTTCTCTTGGGTGCTTGCTTGGGTTTCCTCCCATAATACAAAGATATGCTGGTAGGTTTATTGGCTTCTCTCTAAAATTGCCCCTAGTATGTAAATGTATGAATGTGAGGGCCTCAGATTGTATGCGCTATGAAGGCAGGGACTGATGTGAATGTAAATACATGTAAAAGCACTCCGTAAATTAATGGTGCTATATGAGTACCTGCAATAAATAAATAAGGTATCTACTTTACCTGGGAGACCTATGGATTCAAAGGAACGAATGTTTGTGTGCTAAACAAATGAAGCTTACATAGCAGTCATTATAAAGGATTCTTTTTCTATTGCACTAAATCTTTAAAATCTATTTTGAACCCAAATAAATATGCAATCTAGAGAATTTTAGCTATAAGATTTTGGATTATAAATGAAACCCATCTAAGAGAAGGCAAAGATAGTCTTTATACATATTGTAGATTTATGGAAACCTGTTTCAGAGAATCTAAAATCTTCCTCTTCCTACTGGTGCTACCCATGTGACCAAATTACAGCATTTGATCATGTGATCTCAACTGAAGGGGAGGGTCAATGTTCGGAGTGAGCTGGCTCAATGCCACCTACCAAGGTCTGTCGCTAAGATCACATGACCAAATGTAGATATTTAGTTGTTTCACTTTGAGGAAGAGAGCAATTAAAGCTGTCAGGAATGGACTCGCCAATGGTGGTGGGACTCACTTGCCTTGTGGGCTGCAGTACCTGGGCTAGCCAGCGGGTGTGTTCTCAGCAACCAGAAGCTCACTCCTGCAATCAGCCATCACCTGAGGCTGATTGCAGGAGGTGTATTTAAGGAATGGCCAGACCTGCAGTCAGTGCCTTGTTGTACTGTTTCGCTTGGCCCCGGTATCCTGATCCTGCTTGCTTCTATCCTGATCCTGCACGAACTCTGCCTGTACTGACCTCGGCTAGTCCTGACCACTCTCTCCCGCCTGCTCCTGGTACCTTGTTTGCCTGTTTGCTACCAACCCGGCCTGCCCGACTACGTTTAGTGTTGTATGTATGGTTGTTTGTTGGAGATTTGGTTTGTTGCACTGTGTTATGTTTTGCACTGCGTTTATGTATTGTTAGTCTTTAATAAATTGTATTGTTTATACTATACCAGAAGCCTGTGTTTTCCTGTGACAGTCCACACATTTCTGTTCATACCCAGATTCCTGACAAAAGCATTGAAAAAAGTAAAGAAGGCGCTACTACCCATTCAATGCTCATCCCAGGAGCTAGGCAGGTATGTGATGTACAGTTGCCTATCCATTCCAGAATTAAATTAAATTGATCCGCATTACGCCATTGCTCTAAAATCTTTATTTTATTAGATCGACCACAGTAAAAACATCACAGATACAAAGGTTGACGCGTTTCGGCTTAACAAGCCAACTAAGGATTGTAAGCCGAAACGTGTCAACCTTTATACCTGTGATGTTTTTACTGTGGTCAGCTTACTAAAACAAAGATTTTAGAGCTATGGCGGTAATGCGGATAAAACAAAAAATAAAACAAAGAATTTAGAGCAATGGTGGTAGTGCGGATTGATTTCATTCAATTAAAGCATTGCAAAAGATAGGTAAGTGTCAACTTTGTCTACTTTATATATTATTTAGGGGTTGTTATTTTAAGGCATGCTTGCAATAAGACTATATGGTGCTTTAAAAAATTCACAATACATTTTAATTTGCTGTGATTTCACTCATATATCATTATACTCTCAATCAGCAGTGGATCCGTGAACCCCACTATATCGGAGTACAATGAAAAAGATGCCACTAAACTGTTCATTCAGTTTTTTCTTGCAGCTGTGTCTGTTCACAGCAGACTACCTCCGATCCATCAAATTTAGTTTGAAAAAAAAAAAATTGATATGGAAGCAGACCTCTTCCACTTTTTTTACCAGACCTGGATGGACTTTGAGGTGATCGGATGTAAATGGACGCACATCCATCTACATTTGGCTGCTCAAAGACCTTCTGATCAGGTCTGTCTGAAGAACCACCTTTGAGAAAGGAGCCTAATGATGTTACACAAGTCATTGATACAATCAGGGAGGGTAATACAGTTTAATTACATTGTGATGAATACAGAGGTGAATAAAATTGCATCTCTTGTACCTATCTGCAGTTTAGCTATAACCGAAAATCCTAGAGCTGTATAGCATCCTTGCTAACCACTCAACTTCATAAACTTTTCACTGAATTTATTATAACTACAATGAAAAAAAATGAGAAAGTAAAGTCTTTTTTCTTACGTTTACATGTTGGAGCTCCAGACGTCCATAAGGTGCTGTTCCCCTTCCAGACACAAGTTGTTAACCCTTCACCGACCAGCTGATAGGAAGAGGCACACTGGAACATAATAACAGTCCCCACTGACGAGCCATTGCCGTGCACAATATGGTAGGAACCTGACTCGGGCGCCACAATCTTTTTACACTGACCTAGAAAACAAGCACAAAGAACAGCTACAATGATTGCCTGCATTTCAAATAATCAATAGACAGGAGGCTGAGCATGTAGGCCATAAATAAGAGGTCAGCCCTAAATAATCCTCCACACTTTCATGCTACGCAGCAGAAAGTGTCTATAAAGCAATCTGTAAATTCACTGATCCTTTTTTTCTTTCTTTTTTTTTTTTACTACTGAAAAAGGCAATGCACTGTGACTGGTACATTGCTGTGATTACTGTTTCATTATTGTGACACCTTTTTGTTTTTTAAAGGAAACCTGCCATGAGAGAGATATGGAGGCCACCATTGGTGACCAGGAAAAGGTTCTTTAGCACCCTAGCTAAAGATACTAAAGTACACCCCCTTCCCCATTTTGAGATTGTCAATGGAATGGCAACCCATAAGGAGCAGTGAGCCTACTATACCTGCTTTATAGACTCCCTTTCATCCTCTCTGCATGGGCTGCAAACCACAGTGTGTCCCCACTTTTAGAAGCCATATGAGCCCACTGAGGCTTGTACTATTTGACCCTTACTAAGGTTGGCTGAAACAGGAAACAATCTCTATGAAATGGGGGGGGGGAGATAATCCTTATGGCCCAAACTAATATTTATATTTTTGCTATACACTTATTTTGTTGGTTATAACTTTGTCATTATTAAAAAGGGAAATCCAGTAAAATACTAACTATACTTAAACCTGCTCCCATTCTAAGTCCTATTCTACCCTTTAAAGGAAAGATCTGTATACTTACCTATTCTGAGGGTGCACCAATGCAATCACGTAATTGGCTCTCAGTGGTGGCTTCAATGTATAGGAGGGACAGCCGACAATGGATTTCCCACAGTTAGCCTACGGGGGATGTCACTGGCAGGTACTGCAGTGTCGGAGTCCTCTCCTCTTCACTGAAGCCGGCACTGAAGTGATCATGTGACCGGACCAGAGCGCCCTTTCCTTTACAAGGTAGCTAGAATACGCTTACAATGGGGGTGGCAGCAGGTCTGAATATAGTTAGCATTTGACTTTTTTTTAGAACACAAAACATTTTATTTTCTATGCAATCTATAGACAGAATTACCTAACAAAAGAACATTTTTCTTCTGATTTTCGACCAGTGTAAATGTTAACAAAAAAATTTCAACAACAAAGTTTATCATGAGATGGTGGCAGTCAAATTCCCTCTACCCCAGGGTGTGTTGCACTGTTCCATGACTTTGGGGGAGGAGTATGGGTTCCCTTGATCAAGGTCAGGCAGTCAACAAGATGATGGCAGCTGTGCTTTTGCCCTCGGTAGTCCACTGGTCACCAGGATGGTGGCCCTTTCCAAGTGACTTCAGCGATGTAGTAGGGCGGCACCACACCTTGAAAGATTGGAGTAAAAAATGGGAAATATGGATATGATGTGGATCATGTAGACAGGTGTTGCAATGTCCCGTGCTCCAACCCACAGATAATGAAGATGAAATATTGATATAAAGATTGGTGTTTTTACTCTTTTTTTTATGGCTCTATTTGACCTGTTCCACATTTTTGTAGCATTATCGTTACATGTATTCTTATCAGTAGCAGCTAATCAAAACAATATAACTCACTTCCTTTTATAAAATGATTGAATTAATATTGAGCAAAATTAAGTGCAGCCTATTGGTTCAGCCCTCCACAACAGTCCCAGTTTCTCATGTGATCATGTATCTAAATGACTTGCCCACCCCTGGTCTATAAGAACATCTCAAACTTTTGGACATCCCTATCCTCATCCTTGTTTGGGGGCAATCAGTTTTTGGGTTGGATTTTCTCGGTCCGTCACTCAAACTTCGGCATACAGTACATACACTATGTGGGACATTTATAAAGAAAATTAGTGCCACAACTTGATACAAAAGAGACTCTCATTTAGCAAAGTACTGTATATCTGACAGATATTCGGTGTACTTGCAACCCCTGACCCTTGAATTCTGGGCATCAAATTCAGACAGATGCTCAGGGGTTTGTAACAGATATAGCAATGAAGATGAGACAGAATTTTACATGCAGAAGTACAATTAAGAAATGGTCAGGGGCAGGTTGCACTGCTACTTTTGAGTAGCAGAAGGAGTTACTGCCCTTTACTTTGTGTGTGTGTGGGAGGGGGGGGGGGCAGGGGTTGGGAGAAGAGATACTTCTTTTACATAAAATAGTGAAGAACCAGCCTCACTGACAGGGAATATGTCCCTCTAGCCAATGGGGCCTTATGTCCCTGATAACCAATACTCATAATTAGGAGCAAAACTAGGAAGACTAGGCTGGCTGAACCCTTAAATATGTAAGATAAATACAAAAACTTAGGAGTGTATTTATAAACCCCCCCCAAAAAAAAAAGTTTAAAAAAATTCAAAGCTATTTGTCCAGTAAAACTGCTGGAACATTTGTTCTATGTGAATGGGGCAATTCATTCATAAAAAATAAAGTGGTTTGGGAAAATACAACACTATGGCCACGAGATGGAACTGACAGTCATAGGAAATGCATACTTATTTCCTAGGATCCTCCCTCTAGTGGCCATAATGCACTATTTTCCTGAATCACTCCTTTTTTTTTTTTATGGATGACTAAGGATCAACCTGTACAGAAAATAGAAGAACATTCAATGTTGCCACATTTATAAAGAACAAATGTATCAGCAGTTTTGCTGGATGAATAGCTATGCAGATTTTTTTTTTATAACTACACCCCTAAAAGTAGTTTTAAATCCTATTATTAAAAGAATGATTTTTACTTAAATATATATTAGCTGTTTAAGGATTATATCATTGATGAAATACCTTTATTTTACTTCTCTAGCTTGCTCTTCTAGATGTACTGCCCCCCCCCCCACACACCTCTTCTCCGTGGCCCATTCGCTTTTGTGCTCCACATAAATGATAGCATTGGCTGTCAGTCATAGTCTGTAGGTGGGTCACATGGTTTCTGTAGCAGAGACACTGTGCCGCATGTGTGTGCCTGTGTCTTTACATTGATCTGTAGTCCAAGCTGGGGGAGTGAGCACTTTGTGGTGGCTCCATAGGGATCCTGGTAGTTAATGGAGCCACCTCAAAGGAGGAAGGCAAGCTGGGGAATTATTAAGACAGCTCCAGGGAAGTAGAGATGACACTGGCAGCAAACTTTTTGGACATATGGCAATGTAAATATTAGCAGCAATGTGTTAATATTTTTTTACTTGGGTTAAGTAACACTTTAGGCATGTTTAGATGTTTCTTTACTTTTACATATTAACAATATCTTTAAAAAAACTAATGCAATAAATAAAAACTACAATGGATTTATATAAATTTTTCCAGGTTTATACATTTCTGAACTGATATTAAGCATGTGTTTGATACTATATGTAAGCTTTCTTTTTCAAATAAACTTTTTTTAGATAACACAAGATTCACAGAGTGCCATAGGTTAAGGAGAAAGCAAAGCATACGTTGTCTCCTTTCAGTCTCTCACTGGAACTGTGTATAGAGACATCTGAAGAGAGGGAGAGAGGTCACTGCTCTGACTCATTTGTTTATATACAGTTGCAAGAAAAAGTATGTGAACCCCTTGGGATTACGTGGAGTTTTGCATGAATTGGGCATAAAATGTGCTCTGAACGTCATCTAAGTCACAACAATAGAAGAACACAGTCTTCCCAACATAATACTGCACAAACACTGGATGTTGCCATGGTTTAATTGCACATAACATGTAAACATTCACAGTGCAGGGAGGAAAAAGTATGTGAGGCCCTAGCTTAATGACTTCTCCCAGAGCTAATTGGAGCCAGGAGTGAGCCAACCTTGACTCCAATCAGTGTGATGATATTGGATGTGTTGCTGACAGCTGTCCTGCCCTTAAAAAACACACACCTGTTTTGGGTTTACTGGTTTCAAGAAGCACTGTCTGATGTGAACCATGCCTCGCAGAAAAGAGCTCTCAGAAGAACTGCGATCAAGAATTGTTGACTTGCATGAAGCTGGAAAGGGTTACAAAAGTATCTCCAAAAGCCTTGATGTTCATGTGTCCACGGTAAGACAGACTGTCTACAAATGGAGAAAGTTTAGCACTGTTACTACTCTCCCTAGGCGTGGTCGTCCTGTAAAAATGACTGCAAGAGCACAGCGCAGAATGCTGCATGAGGTAAAGAAGAATCCCAGAGTGTCAGCTAAATACCTACAGAAATCTCTGGCACATGCTAACATTTTTGTTGACACATCTACAATAAGGAAAACATTAAACAAGAATGGAGTACATGGGAGGACACCACGGAGGAAGCCATTGCTGTCCAAAAAGAATATTGCAGCACGTTTGAAGTTTGCAAAAGAGCACCTGGATGTTCCACAGCACTACTGGCAAAATATACTGTGGACAGATGAAACCAAGATTGAGTTGTTTGGGAAGAACACACAACACTATGTGTGGAGAAAAAAAGGCACAGCACACGAACATCAAAACCTCATCCCCACTGTAAAACATGGCGGAGGGAGCATCATGGTTTGGGGCTGCTTTGCTGCCTCAGGGCCTGGACGGATTGTTGTCATTGATGGGAAAATTAATTCCAGAGTTTATCAAGACATTTTGCAGGAAAACGTATGACCATCTGTCCGCCAACTGAAGCTCCGCAGAGGATGGGTGATGCAACAGGACAATGACCCAAAGCATACAAGTAATTCAACAAAACAATGGCTGCAACAGCACAGAATACGCCTTCTGGAGTGGCCCAGTCAGAGTCCTGACCTCAACCCGATTGAAATGCTGTGGCATGACCTTAAGAGAGCGATTCACACCAGACATCCCAAGAATATTGCTACACTGAAACAGTTTTGTGAAGAGGAGTGGTCCAAAATTACTCCAGATCGTTGTGCAGGTCTGATCTGCAACTACAGGAAACGTTTGGTTGAGGTTATTGGTGCCAAAGGAGGGTCAACCAGTTATTAAGTCCAAAGGTTCACATACTTTTTCCTCCCTGCACTGTGAATTTTTACATGTT